GATAACCAGACAATTCCCAAGCAGCGATCACTCCCCCCAGCCAACTCCCCCCAGTTTATATAGACTGAGCATGACATCATATGGTATGGAATAGCCCTTTGGTCAGTTTGCATCAACTGTCTTGGCTGTGACCCCTCCCAGATTCTTGTGCACCTGGCAGAGCATGGGAAGCTGAAAAGTCCTTGACTAGCATAAGCAGTACTTAGCAACAACTAAAAACATCAGTGTGTTATCAGCATTCTTCTCCTACAAATCCAAAGCACAGCACTGTGCCAGCTACTAGGAAGAAAATCAACTCTATCCCAGCCGAAACCAGGACAGGCATAGGACTGGGGAAAAGGGCCTCACCGGTACAGGAGGAAGTCTGTTCTGGGAAAGCCCTGCAAAAGGAGAATTTCAGCAGGTATGAGCTAGTGGCATCACCTGTCACTGAGTCCCTTTACCCTAGCAGAGAAACTGCCCAGAACTGCTGGCTGGCCCTGTGTGTGAGCAGCATGTGAGCAGCTCTGTGACAGCCTGAGATATGGTGAGAGCAGCCCATGTTAGAGCTGCCCAGGGTATCCCAGGTTGAGGCCAGCATTCTGCTTCTTCATAGCCTGGCCAAACTTGAACACCCTGAGATAAATTTTCCATGTTGGTTGTTTCCCTCCAAGGGAACCATGTGTGTATGTGCTCATGTGTGTAAGATCTGAGCCGTAATACTGACGCTCTTGTTGAAAACAAGATGCACATGACATTTCCTGAGAAGTGGGAATCAAAATATGTCTACTTGTAGCCATGCTGTGAACCTGAGAAAAGGGGAGGAAGAGGGAAAAATCTGCTATTAACTGAGAGATCAATCTCTCTTAAAATTTTTCATTCATAAACCTATTTACACTGCTGCAATGCAGCCGTCTCTGAGCTGGGTAGGCTGAGGGTTATGTTTGAAAGTGAATAGACTTGCAGTTTGTTTTAAAAAAGAGAAACCTAAGCCCCTGCCTGCTGATATTGCAGCAGGAGTATTTGATAGGCAGTGGTTGCACCCCTGTGCAGCCCTCTGCTGCAGCAACATGTGATAAAGGATAAGTCAAAATTAATGATGAGTTGAAGAAGTGTAAATAGGGCCTTAGACCAAAAAACCTTTATGCTCATGTCTGATATGCTGAACCAGTGAGTTACATCCACATTGGACACCAAATACTAAACCTAGAGAAGCCCCATGACTATTCTCACCTTCATGCAGAACCAGACAGAGATGGGGAAGGTCATTATGATGAACAGGAAAGACAAGATGGTCAGAAGCCACTCACAGATGCCCAGCCCCGGAGACTTTACACCTAGGGAGAAATCCAGCATGACTGTGTTAGGAGAGGACTGCTCCCAAAATACTGATGGCCTGACAAGTGCCTGCACAGATCAGCTTCGGTGTTGTCCTTTGCCTGGACCCGGTGTATGTGAACCACTTGGTCCTCTCTGGAGCTGGATTAAAGAATACTCCCTGCCCCAGGTGGCCAGGAGCTGCTAGGATGGACTGACTGATTTTGTCTCTGCTTTGCTGTCAGAAATTGAGCCATGCTTCTCCATAGTGCCTTGACTAGAGAGCAGTCTTTAGCTTGAAGACCTGCAGCTACCAAGAAGTGTTGAAAGGCTTGGAATGGGTAACTTGTGGCTGAGCTGGGATCCCAGAAGCCTATCTGGAAAGATAAGCTAATGGCAAAGAGAAAGATTGCAAATAAGAGGTAGCTCTCAGCATGCACAGCCTAAAATGCCCTTCCCTATCAGAGTATCTCAGGTCCTTTTGGAATAGGATTTTAGTCGCATCCCAGCTCCCTAATGCAGTGGGACCAAGCCTCTGGTGCTGCTGAAATCTCCCTGTGCTCTACAGCAGTCACACCAAGGTGCTGGAGGCTGACTGGGGTGGTCAGCCCCCGATGAGTATTACCTTCTACATCTCCCCAGAGTGAGTGTGGGTCATCTGGATCTGGCTGCCCTTTGTTGTGCTCCTGCCTGAGGGAAAATCTGCAGGTGTGGCATGAAAATAGACAGATCACTTCTGGGTGTATCCAGATCCAGAGAGTGAACCACGTTTTCCAGCAGTGAAGATGGCATCCCTGCATTCCTCCGATTTTGAATCCCTTCTAGCCCCTTTCCATCCCTGCCCCTTTGCCTTTGGAGCTCTCTGCAGAGCCACCAGGTCCTGAGGGAGGTTCGGATCCCAAGAACCTGCATGATAACTCTAGCTCCACAGCACCACTCACTAGCTGGGATTCCTGTAATTGAGGCATAAAGAGGCAGTTGTGAAAAATTAGTTTCCAGAGAGACAGGGGCAAGTCTGAACCTTTGTGTCACTCTAGGGCAGCAGAGCTGCTGGCATGGAAGTGGACAAACGATGCTGGCCCCTGTAACACACATCTGCCATGCCTGTGGTGACGCTGGGTCCAAAGAGGCCCAGCCATCTTGCCAAAAGCCTCATGATGCTCTCTCCTATCACAGCAGGCTGGGAATCTGCCTAACACATGGCCTGGAGAGGAGCTGCTCTAAAAGGTTGTCTGGAAGGGGAGCTACGAGTGTGCACCTCAAGTGCAGTTTTTCCCTGCAGTGCAGTTCTTTGGGCTCTGAACCGGCACTGAGGCTAACTCCATCCACCCAAATAAAAGCAAGCAAGAAAAGGAAGAGAGTAGAGCATGAACAGAACTGGGGAGCAGTGAGCTGAAGCATGAAGGGTGCTGGGGATGTAACTGCTTGTTGCAAAGTTCATTGCTTTGCTAGACAGTGCTGATCAGCCTGCAGTACTGACTGCAGAAGCTGGCTGGGAGGCTGGCTGGACTCTCCCATATCCTGTCCTGAGGGTAACCGTGCAAGGTGGGTGTGATGACACTCACCATGCAGAGAGCAGACTCATACTGTGACCATACAGGGTCGAAGAGCCCATAGCGTTCCGGCCCCTCCCCTTCCATAAGCCATACCTTCCTCTTGCTGCTCGCTGTCCAGCAACGCCATTGCCTCCATTTCTTCATCAGATATCACATCATCCACGTCCACCACCGTGGACGTGTGCACCCTACCGTCAGCCCCTGCAGTGCTCTTGATCTCCTTTGCTTTCTCCTGCTTCATGTCTCCCCTTCCTTTGCTGGCTTCTCTGCTGCTCTCCCTCTTCTCTCGTTTGCTCTGTGCAGCTGGGGACTCTCTGCGTCTCCTATGAGACTCCCTGGAAGAGCTCCGAGACCTCTTATCCATCCTCATCTGTGCCAAGGAGCATGCAGCTGCCTGTGGATGTTGGATGAATTTGTGCTTGAATTTATTGCTGCAGGCAGGAAAACCAGGCGGGGGGGAGAGAAGGGGAGGTGTCAGATAGAGGAGGCTTGTTTCAGGTTTATCACAGGCTTGTCAGACATAATGGACAGTGAAGTGAGCAAGCTGTTTCCCAGCTGCTCTGCTCTCATTGCACACTGCTGTGGAGATGGGAAGGAAGGGTTACAGCTGGACTGGGTGGACAACAGGAGGACATTCTGTTTGCATCTTCCTGCCTTTGGAAATAAAACACAATCAGAAGTACTCAGATGATTTTTAGTAGATGGCTTCTGCAAAGCTGTTGAAAAGCAACGCAAAAGTAACTGTCAGACATGTGGCTCCAAAGACCTCATGTGGTGAGAGTGGCCCAGAGCAATAAACACCAGGGTGAAAACCCTTTACTGGTGAGACCAGTGGCTTACTCAGGAGTGTGTGGAGGGCTTGTTGTGGAGAATGGCTGTATGAGTAGCATCTGACACTATTCTGCTCCCTAGAAACCTTTTGGCTGGCGCAGTGGAGGGATATCGGCACATTTTAGTGGGGAGGGCAATTAGCTGGTCCCGGTTCAGCCATGAACTTTCCTGAGCAGGTGCAAAGCACGGAGGCCATTGCTGGGTTAGAGCTGTTGAATCGAAATTGCCGAATGAATTTGTGCCTAAACACCTCCCTAGTTTTCCACAGCAGGAGCATGGCAGAGCAAACATAGGAGCTTTTCCTTTTCATGCCGCACAGCCTGTGGTGACACCTGCGGAAACCTTTGCAAGAAACACTTTTAAAGTGTTTTAAAGTCACTGACTGTATTAAAGAAACCAGCACCTGGCTAGAAATCATACTACAGCAAGGCAAGGCTGGAACATAAAGCAGTGACTTCCCTGTCAACAGGACAGTGCTGAGCTCAGGGATGCCCAGTCTCTGGTGTGGAGGAGCAACAGGAGGGAGCTGGGAAGCCGGCCAGGGAGGTGCTGCTGTTGTTTTTTCATGGATTCCTCTTTTATTAGAGACTTGTGGCCTGCCTGGAGTCAGGATATTGCAGGCAGGGAGGGCAGGAGCACCAGCTCCCCGCTTTCTCTGCTCTGTCATGCTGGGTGCCTCGTCAGCAGGTCACCAGGGAAGCCATGGGTGGAGAGGGCTAATGGCAGAGGAGAAAAGTTGGGTGGAAATGGGGGTAATTAATAAATTCATACAGTGTCTGTATTTGCTTTGGAAGTGCTCCAGAGACCTTTTTTACTTTGTGTTTATCGCTTGGCCAGCGTGGGGCAGGGGGAGATGGTCTCCAGCTGCTGAAAGGGGAGGTGACATTTTAAGCAGCAGCAGTAGACAGCAGCTCGGGTCTGCTCTTGGCTGGGCAGCACGGACTCTGGCTGATTTCTTGTCAGAAGCACCATGGGATATTTAACATCTACAAACCTGAAACTTTCTGGTTTTGTCTGATGTTTAATTCAACCAGTGGGTCCCGACTGCTCTGTCCCCGGGGGACGTTTTGGGCTGCTACCTTGGGACAGGGGAGATGCTTCGAGAGCATGCACTGACGGATTTGCAACCTCTGCCATCCCAAAATCCGCAGCTTTGTCCCCCTTTGTCATACTGAAATGTATCCTCGTGCGGAAATCAACCGCGCTGTTGAGGTTTCTCAAATGACTGCGAACCCTTGAGAAATGGCCATTGCAACCTAATTCACCATGCTCTTTGGCCTTGGGAAAGTCACTCAGCGTCTCCGCTGTGGATTTTCCTCTCAGATGGAATTGAAAAATACAAGACTATTCTTGATTCTGTTGGCGTTTGGGTTTAAACATCAGGAAAAGGTTCTTCACTGGTGGTCGGATCCCTGGAACAGGCTCCCCAGGGAAGCGGTCACAGCACCAAGCCTGTCAGAGTTCAAGGAGCGTCTGGGCATCGCTCTTAGTCGTATGGTTTAGTTTTAGGTAGTCCTGCGAGGAGCGGGGTGTTGGACTCGATGAGCCTTATGGGTCCCTTCCACCCTGAGATATTCTGTGATTCTATGAATCGGTCTTTTTTTTTTTTGTCTGTGGCTCTGTCGCAAGGCGCTAACTCCTCCTGTCAGAAGGGAAACACACCTCACGTTTTTTTTACTCAGGAGAAGGCAGGGGCAGCAGCTCCGTGCAGGCCCCGGGGGCCGGTCCCGGCGCCGGTCCCTGAGCTGAGGGGAGCCA